CCCCAAAACCCCAAAACCCCAAAACCCCATCATAAATTTATGACTTGAATATTTAAGGGAAGTGACTCAATTTGAAGAAATAAAAAGTTATTCGCAATATATAATCGATCAAGTTTCTATAAATCTTGATTATCTGATAATTTCGCCTAGATTTTTCATTCACGATCTCAGAATTGCTGATCTCTGTAAATTTATTGCTATTGCTGAGGCAGATTGCTCTGATATGGAACATTCTTTGAGAGTGCTGGGTTTTACTGCTATTACTATAGAGGATTATTAGGGTCATATGCTGTTTGATAGAATTGTGGCTGCTATTGTTGTCCAGTAGTTGGGTTATACTAGAACTTCTATTGCTCGTAGGCACTACCAGCAAAAGCTTATGAAGGTAAAGGCACTTGCTAAGTTGAGATTCCTTAACTTTAAAGTGGCATTCCTTAGAACGGTGGCTGATTGTTTGAATATCTACTCTCAAGTCTATATAACAAAATTCAGAATGATATTCAAAAGTCATATAATTTTTGTTTAAATATGTGAACTTACAAGATTTTTCCGGCTTACTTATCCTTGAACATCAATGTGAACTAATATAGAAATTAAATATGATTTAAGAGGAGAATCTTACGCATTGCTCTTAGAATCCTTTATTTTGGCACAGTTAGGATACTTTGATAATAGCCATTCCAATCTAAGAAAAAGTTAATATCGAGATTCATTAATTAGATCATACCAGGTCATCAGTGCCTAGGTTTTCATCATAAACTTTGATCATTAACTCATCATTCAAGTTAATAACTTGCATTTAGAATAGCTATAGATGCAATGATTTATATAATGAATAATTACTTGATCCCAAACTGGGTGCTTTCCGGCATCCTTCTAGGTTGCTGATCTGAATTTCTATCCTGAGTACTCAATCGAAACATAGGGATCCATTTTCCTTTGAAAATTTTATCTTTTATTTTGTACTTACCCGATGATTTCAGTATCTCTGAATAGCTCAGCTCTGACGAGTCTGAGGTCTAAGATGCCAACATTTTATTGTGGATCTGGTTAGGGTTTTATGTTTTATTGGAACATTTGCTGTAGATGTGTATCTCAATGATTCTTAAAATTTAATTATACTATTTTAACCAAATTACTCTTATTACCCTTAATTATATTATCTATCACCTACATGGGGTTTTGGGGTTTTGGGGGAAGTTGTGTGCAATTTCTAGTGGATCTGGATAATTTTTCTTACTCTTTGACATC